CCCAGGGCGCCCCCGGCCCGCAGGAATCCCCGCCGCGGGCGGGGGTGTTTGGGTGGCTACCCGAAAGCAGGAGGGAAGTCTGGGAAAACGGGGGGAGCGAGCTCGGGAAGACGCAGGAGTGAGGGTGGGGGGCGGCCGGGGTGGCTCGGCGCTCCCGCCGCTGGCCGCCTGAGGACGCTCTCTGGCCGGCGACTCGGGGTGCCGGGCCACCCCGCCCTCGGCTCACGCGCGCAGGGATTGTCTTCCTGCCGCCGAAAAGAAGCCGGAGGGTGGGGGGCGGCGGGGACGGACCGGAGCGCGGAAGGAAATGGAGCCCCATGTGCTGGCAGTGGGAAGAGCGCGGACCAGGACTCGGGCATCCCGGCCCCGGCGCGCCCAGCTGTGAGCCTTGGGGCGGTGGTTGTCGCTCACACTCCTGCCCAGAAAAAGGGGTTTCATTCCTCCGCACAGAAAACTTGCCAACCACTGCCGAGCGCCTCGCGTCCTGAGCCAAATCTGCACCTGTCCGCTTCCCACGAGCATCCTAAAGCCTCGCCTGAGTGGGTCTTCAGGGTCTGGGGAGCAGCGAGGCAGCGGGACCGGCAGGCGCTGGAAATGCACAGGCTGCCCTGTCCCCACCCTAACCCCCCGGGCCCATAGGCTGCCACCATCCCACGGGAAAGGGGCAAAGAGCCCGGCAGCAGCTGAAAGTGTGAGATATGTGATGCGACAGGTCGGTGGTCTCTAAGGAGACCTCTTTCACTTGAGGCAGGGCCTCGCTGGAAAAACCCCAGCTAGCCCCAAATCTCCTGGAGGCAGATAAGGGGCTGGCGGACGTGCGAAGTTGCACCTGAGCCTCTGGGGGAGGGAGGAGGGGGAGCAGGGCTGGGAGGAAGTGGCTGTTTGCTGACAGGGAGCGGAGCCTGCCCACCCCCTTTTGGGCCTCGCTGCTGCCTACTCAGCCTCCAGCAGGCAAGTGGAGAGCCTGCTTGGGAGAGCCACAAACTGTCAGATCCTAAGGTAGAAGATGGGGAAGAAGGGCGAGTGGGTAGTGGAGTTAGCCGCCCTCTGGTCACCCCTTGGATTTCAAGCCAAGTCCATCCCTGCTAGCCAGGAGCCTCTGAGCTGCTCCCCCTGACCTCATCCTCCAGGACAGCACCCCAACCCCAGGCCTTTTTTCCTCCCCACTATAGAGCGGGAAACCCAGAAAGCTAGGCCTGGCAGGAACTGCGTGTGCTTGTCCAACAGGATGTATGACTCCAAGCCCCCCAGCTGAGCCAGACCCCACTCCAACCCTCCTAGGCCAGGAGTCTGAGAGTGAAAATAAAGTCAGGTGACTTCCTCCCTCCTAGAAGTGGGTGGGGAGGTGAAGGGAGGGAACCTTTGCCGGATCTCGCCCTGAATTTGGAGAATGTGGGGCGGCATTCCAAGCAGTCTCCGTGGTGACTCTGGGGCAGGAATGCATCTGGGACAGGAAGCCCAGCCAGCAGGAATGCAGCGTCTCAGCACAAGGCTTTGTGTGGCTCACCCCCCCACCACCCCCGTACACACCCACCCCAGCACAGCCATACACTGCCCCCTCCCCTCCATACAGATGCAGCAGGGAAGAGCTGCCAGGCTCTTCCCTGGTGACCATGGTGGTCAGGGGGTCCACACACATCTGTCCCCCCATCTGCCTCCTGCTGCCCTTGACTGACAGCTTGAAACTCCCAGATCTACCCAGCCTTCAACACATACCCTCAGAGGGCTCTGTGGCCCCCATGGCCACCCCATCTCTTCATCCTGCTTGCTCCCCTGAGGAGGTGCTGGAAGGAAGGGGAGGGGCACACATTCACCCCATTGCTGCCACCTGAGGGGTGAGCGCCTTGGGAAGGGGTTGAGGGCAGGGGTAAAAGATCACACCGCCCCTAGCTTTCTTTGCTGGCAAAGAACTTGGTTTAAGAACTTCCATCTTTCAAGGCCCTTTAGTCCCAAGTGCAGGCTGGTTATGTGTCTGCTAAGAGCTCTAGAGCAAAGACCCCAGGACCCCGGGGAGGAGAGCTGGCTGCCACAGCCCAGGTAGGTGTGGGCTTGAGCCCATCTGATTTGTGAAAGCATATCATGCCCTTTTTACAAGCCCCGCTCCCCACAACACTCTGCCCAGCGTAGCTTGTTAACAGGAGATCTGGCCATGTTAATATTCCAGCCCACACTTTCCAACCCTCCCTGTTTAAAATTTTCAAAGTGGGGCCCTCTCTGGAGGCACAAGCGGTTAAAGTGCAGCACTACTGCAGCCACTAGAGCACGAGTTCAATCCCCAGCCAGGGAGCTGACCCACATGGAGCAGCAGACCTCTCCTGACCTGCCCTCTGCTCCTCTCAGTAGTGTATTTCAGTCAAATCTGCCTGTCTGTCTCTGGTGAATCCTCTCACCACCACCCCCAAACCACTGGCCTGTACTCCAGTTCTTATAAGCATAATAAATATATCTTTAAAAAAATAAAATGTCCAAATGTCCCCAGAACTGTAAGCTGAATTGCAAATCATTTCTTCTGGCATTCAAGGCTCCCATCTCCCCTTACCATCTCATCAAAATATCCTCTTCAACCACCGCCCAAGACGGACATTCCTCCTGCACTGCCCCTCAGCATTTCTTCCTCGTATCTGTCCAGTCCTGCCCATCCTGGCACACACAAGGCCCACTCCAGAGTGTTCCAGGCCACGTGGCATTATTTTGCTCGAACCTGCTCAGCCCCTGCTGAGGAACTATCATCTTCATAAAAGCAAGAAAAAACGTTCATTTCTTTATTTCCACTATGCCGCAAACCCAGGGCTTTCCGAGACCTGAATTTCCCGCTGGTGAGTTTTCTCGCGACCATGGGCTACACCTGACACTAGAGGGCGCCAACGAGGCTCGTTCTCAGCCACCACGGAAAAGCTTGACGGCCCAAGACAATCAAAGCAGCCATTAAAGGTGGGACTTAATCAAGGTGTAAATGAACAGAAACCTTAGGAGGCAACACAGTCCTCGCCAAGATTCCTTCCCCAAAAGCCAAAAGCCTGACAGCACAAGGCTACCCAGGAACCAGCCACTGCTCCTCTGAGTCCCGCTTTGATCTTTCTTTGAAAATAAAACTGAGGCCGCTGCCCACCCTTGGGGGTGGGGGGCAGAATAGCCACTTTATTCTAAAATGTCCTCTGGGATCAGGACTGGGAGTGGTGACAGAATGTGGCCCCAAATCTGGCAGGGACCACTTCCCCCTCCCCCGCCCAACATATCCCTGAGGCGGGTATGCCTGGTCTTGCACTGTATCTTTTTCACATCAACCACCAAGGACGCCAGCAGTTTCCAGGGCAGAGGTGGAAGGGACAGGCCTGACTTGAAGCTGAGGCTGTTGGTGGGTGGTTCTGCTGGGTCGCCCCTCCCTGGCAGGGCTAACCTGCAGCCCTTCCAAAGTTATTTCGGGTGATTCTTTCTCACATGGGTGCAGGCAGCCTGGGGTGAGTGCCGGAGGTCCTAGATGTCGCCTCCTCTCCTGCGTACCCAGCTCTTCCAGTAAAATGGCAGGGCCAGTGGCATCCCCGCCAAGGAGAGACTGGTGGGCACAGGCCACCAGTCTCTCCAAAGCTGGCAGGGTCTGCGCTCCCCACAGCCTGACTGCCCTCCAGACCCCTTCCTCTTTCCAGACCCCAGTGGGGAAGGCCTCCCCCTAAAGCGCTGGGGATCATCCCGGTGGTCGTGCACCTTCACAAAAGGGCTCGGGAAGAGAATGACCTCCATCTCCAAGGCAAGCTCTCCTGAGGGACACACGGACAGGGGCTCAAGGAGGGGAGAGTGAGAGGCAATTACTTAGATAATGACTTCACCCAGGGCAGACAGAAGCCTGTGTCACAGGGCCAAGGAAAGGAAGGAGAAGAGAAGCAGCTACTTAATTTTGTCCGCAGGGATATTTATAAGAGCTCATAGGTCAAAAACTTTACACAGTGACAACATTTAGCCTCGGGCCCACCCCTCCTCCGAATCCCAGCAGTTTCCCCTGCTGCTTTCCATGCAGCACCCACCGCCCGCGCTGGCACATGGTGCTGCGAGGGGGAGGAGCCTCCAGCAGAGGCCTGGGAAGGTGAGGCTGCCTGGGCACCCAAAACCCAGCCTCACCCAGTGAGGGGAAGAGGCCCCTCCCGCCCACGCCCACTGCTAGGCAGGCCCAGGCCACAGCACTGAGGGGCCCAGAGCCGGCTCAGGCCTGGGAGCTGAAGGTGGAGGGGACCGAGTAGCGCTGGCGGGCGTGCTTTTCGCAGTACAGCTCGTCCTGCACCCAGAAGTGTCCCCGCATCTTCAGGTTTAGCCCACAGTCTGCGCAGGTGTAGCAGCCGGGGTGGCGATACCTCCCCTCCTGGATGCGCACAGCCTGGTTCCTGCAGGAGAAGAGGGGGCGCCTTTAGCCTGAGGCGGGGACTGGGTGGAAGCACCAGGCCGGTCCTGCCAGTCCCACTCTGAGGAAGCACAAGCCCAGCCCAGAGTCAGAGCCTGAGAAAACCCCCAAGCCTCAGACCCTGACCCCCCCAAGCCTGCTGTCAGAATCTCCTTTCAACGACCCCACTCCACCCAAACCTCTAATCCAAAAGAGAAAAGAAAAAGAAAAGGAGAGCAAGGGGAAAGGGAGGAGGGGGGAGCAGTTCCTCCCACACACAGGCAGGTCAAGTCCTGGAGAACCAAAGTGAGGTCCCAGGTGCCAGGGCCTGCACCAGCGCATCACCTGGGACAGGTGGAGATGCCATCCTGGGCAAGGGCCTCCTGCAGAGGAAACTGGGGGTGTGTCCCACCACCCTGTCTTAACAAGCCTGTGGGACTCTGAGACACACACACACCCCACCACCCCCCACCCCACCCCAAGATACTTCCTTGCTTTAGCACAGAAGTAGATAACATCCCTCCTGCAGGAAAAATACAAAACCAGGAGCCCTGGAGGTGAAAGAATCTGCCAAAAGTCACCTGACCCTTAACACTGTTACTGAAGAATGTACCTGGGAGAGGTACATTCAGCAATTTTTCCAGAGAATGAGGTTGCATTAGAACGCCACCCACTGAGAAGAATGAACCAACCTCTGGGAAATTCACCCTGCCCCAAAGGGGGTGAAAATGGGCTAAGAGCAAGATTTTCCAGGAGGAGGCGCCTCATCTAGAGGCAGGGCTCAGAGGCTCTGCGGTCCTGGAGAGAAGCAAAAGCGGGGGCATTTCTCACATACCCTTGGGGAGAAGAGAGGACACTCAGCAGGAAGAACACTTACCCTAAGAAGCCTGGAAAAGAATGACCCACCTCAACGGAGCCAATGCCCTCCACCGGCCTGGACCCCACCCCATCCCCAGCCGTGACACTCACGCAATGCTGGTGCTGCATTTCTCACACATGTGGAGCCTGGGTGGAGTGACCAGGGCCTTGGAGGTGGGCAGGGAGGGCTGGGGGCTCAGCGAGCTGGACAGGGAGGCAGGCGTGCCACCTGGGTGGGGCAGACACACCTGTCAGCGGCTCCGTGGCAACAGCACCCAGGCTGCCTATTCATGCCCCTACACCTCCAACACAGCTCCTGGGGACCCACAAGTGGGCCTCTAAAGCAGCATTGGCATTAGAGTGGGCACTAGAGGAAGGAAGCCAGATCACCTTGGCTGAGCTGGTCAAACACAGGAAGCGCATTCAAGGATGAGTGAGCTGGAGCTAAGGCAACCTCAGGAGTGTCTGACTTATGGTATGAATAGATAGCAGTTCCGATAACAGCTGTACCTTTGTACGGCTTTCGAAGTGCTTTTAGGAGCATGATTGCATCTGGCCTTGGATGCATGCAGACGCCACACAGATGTCAGTGGGCAGGTGCGGGGCCCTGCCCAGGCCATGGAGGCCCCAGGCAGGTGAAGTCACTGTCCAGCCTTAAGGCCCTATGGCCCTCACCCTGCCCCCTCCCTGGGCCCTCCCTCTCCTGGGGCCTGCCCAGGCCTCAGGTCATGATGCACAAGATTTGCTCCAGAACTTCTCACCCAGGCCCCACCTCCATAACAGATAAACGTCAGATGAGTGTCAGCAGACACTAGATACTCAACAGTTCAGATATTTCTCTCGCCTGTCCCACCTCTCACCACCCAGGCCTGGCCCTCCTCCTCTCCCCTGGGCTAAGGTGCACGCATGTGCCCACACCCACAACACACCCCCCCACACACACACACCTGCAGTCTATCTACTTCCCCGGGACCTCGGCAGGCCCGTCCATACCAAAAGAACCTCAGCAGGGGTGTTACAACTGCCACTGCTACCGCTTTCTCACTCCACACACCTGGTCCACCACAGCAAACATTTGCTGCAGGAATCTCTCAACACTGGCCAGAGTCCTTGCCTCCCTGCTGCTCACTGCAACACCTCATTCACTGCTGGCACTGTCCCTTGGGCCCTCTGGGGTAGGGAACTCCTCAGCCTGACACTAGAGTCCTCACAGCCGCAATCTAACCTCCAAGGCGCCCTCCAGGCTGCCAGACCCAGCCATTCCCTTACTCCCACAGCAAAACACACACTACTTGCCAACCTCCACATTCCACAGTGTCCCCGCCACCATCTCAAGGTCATCTGTTAAAGTCTTGAGCTTTCTTCAAGAGCCAAGTCAAATCCCTCTTCCTCCACCAGTCCTGGGGGACGCAGCCCCTGCCAGCCTCTGCTTTCCTTCCCCTGGCATTTCCGGGCCTCAGCTGGCCCCTTCTGGGCTGCCCCTAGGAACCCTGTCATGCCATCAGCCCCCCTGGTTCAGAACTATGGCTTCTGGGTCCATGCCCTCGGCACCCGCTGCGAACTGGGAAATACTAGTTCAATAACATGCCCAGGCAGGGCCAGCGTGGGGGCGTCCTGGGAACCTCCTTCCTCGCCAGAGTCCCCGGGGTCTCACCTCTTTCCTCAGCCTCCAGGGCTTCCTGTAAGAGTCGAAAGGAACTGGACTGGCGGGGTGGCAGCCGCCCTTCTCGATTTTCCTGCAGCATCTTGAAGACTTCTGAGTCCTCTTCCAGGAGGTCCACACTGTGGGGATGGGAACAGCCTGGGGTTAGGGACTGTTGCCAGGAAGAGATGGGGAGCACATAAAGAGTAATTGGGGGCCACAGGAAAACCACAGGGCTTAGAGTGGCAGCTCCCCTCCTTCTCCCCACCCCACCCCCCGCTCTGCCTCTCTCAGGCCTCCAAGACCCCACCTGCCCCTCAAGAGGCCACTAGTACCTGAGTCTGGGGCTGACGGAACAGGAAGGTGGCAGCACGCACACTGCTGAGTCGCCAGCACGGCCCCTGCCGGCCTGCGGGAAGGAGAGCACCAGGGCAGGTGGCCTGAGTCTTGGGCCTGACCACCGCACAGCCCAGCCTGGACAGCCAGGCCTGGCTGTCCCCAAGGCCTGACACCAGGGGGCTCCCAGCCCTCGCCAACCAGTGAGGGCCATCAGCCAGCCCAGTCCTCAGAGACTGGCAGGGCAGCTCCAGCGTGACCCCAAAGGGGAGGGGCTGGCACCCAGCCATGAGGTGTGGGGGACCTTCAAGACCAGTGGGCAAGGATGGAAGGAAGACCCACAGGTGGTGTGTGGACGCCACGCGTGCCTAACACTTCAGGACAAATGAGAGAGGAAAGGAAATGGAGTAGTCAGGGCCGCGGGCTCTTGCCCACTCCGGAGCTCTCTCCCGCCAAGGCCAGGAGGTGGGCTGACCAGCCTCTCCGGGAGCCCGGGGAGGCCTGTCCAGCCCCACCGAGCCTGGGAGCGGCTCCCCAGCAGCAGTGACCACACCCAGGGGCACGCTGCTCAGCTTGAGCTCTTGGGCCTTCCTTCCCCGACAATCTTCCCGACCCGGCAACCTTGCTTCAACCTCATCATTGCTCTGCTTTCTAGCCTGTACTTCCGCATGGCCCTGATGCTGCCCCTTCCCCTTGCCCCTCCCCAGTGGGACCACCTGAGTCCCCAGAGCCTGCACCAGGCAAGGAAAGGAGAACCTCAGAGACAACCTGGCAGGCCGAGGCCAGCTTCCAGGAAAGCCAATTTCCCTGCGTTTGAAAGCTCAACATCAGGACCAATTATGGGGCCATTTGAAAAAGACTGCATGAGTTCTTAAGCTAAAAGTGAAAACTTCAGTCTTGAGAACAGTCCTAGGCGCTTGCCCAAGGTCTCAGCTCCGTGTCTCTGCTCCGGGGCTCCTTAGGGAAATGTTGTGCAGGTGAGGAACAGGATGGTCAGAAGGGCCAAATGGCTAAATCAAGTCACCTGGGGAGGCGGGGCAGGGCTGGGAGCCCACACCTGGGCCTCTGGGGGCCCAACACTTCATACCATTTCTATCAACTGACGGACCATGAGATGGTTACCTCAGGAAGGTCAGCTGCGCCAGTTACTCAAGAAGGATGGCCACCTGCCTGTCCTTCCCCGGCCGGCAAGTGCCCTGCGAGAGCCGCTGGCCAGCAGTAAGGGCGGGCAGAACCCGGGCAGCATATTAGCACATGAGTGGCCAGGGAGGAGGCATCTGCAGAAAATCCTGCAGTTAAACATTTTAGGAAATTAATAAAATGACTGATAGGGAAAGTGTGGTAAATGTACACAATGAAATACTATTTGACTATTAAAAATGAAAATTTGGGGCCTCCCTAGTGGCGCAAGGGGTTAAGTCTCAGCACTAAGAAGTTATCCGGTGGGGAGTTCAGTCCCTGGCCAGGGAGCTCACCCCCTTGGCGCGGCTGACCTCTCCTGTCTCACCCCCCAGCAGTGTACTTCGTCCATCTGCCTGTTCTGCTCCCCACTCTGTCTCTGGTGAAGCCTCTCATCCCCTGTACCTCTGGCCTGTACCCCAGTTCTTGTATGCATAAATAAATCTTTTTTTTTTAAAAAATGAACTGCTGAAAAAAAAATGAACTGCTGTTTGCAGGAGGTTATGCAAAGTGAAATAAGTCAAAATGAGAAAGAAATGTTGGATGATAGCATCTACCTGTGTGTGGCGTAAATGAAGATTACTCAGGCCTTTGTGTCGTCAGCCTCTGGCTATCACCTGCAGCCTTGAATGCGGGAGGCACTGGGGAGTGTGGACCAGGACACGCATGCCTGATGGTGCACACCTGGAGTGTGGTGGGGGCCTGCGGAAGTGGGCGCACCTGAGCCTGGAGGCTGGGCTAGCAGGGCGGCAGGGTGTGGCGGAGAGCCCAG